GGGGATAAGGGAGAGGAGGCGGAGAAGGCAGAGCTGGGCCACTGGAGGGGTGGAATTGGAGGTCGGAGCGGCCCACCCGAGGGTAGGAAATGGAGGGGTGAGCCAGGGGTGGGAGTTAGAGGGTGGGGCTGGGGAGTAAGGAGCAGAGTGAACTAGGTGGGTTCAGAAGAGTACTGGTCGGAACTTGGCGAGAGAGACTGGGCCAGAAGGCGCGGCCCGCCGACCGTGCACCGTGCGGGCAACACTGCTGAGAAGTCCGCGGCACGGGGTGTGGCTGGGGGTGTGTGTGTGTGTATTCCACGGTGCCCACCCCCGCAACACACACACATACACACTCCTCCTGGTGTTCCAAGTCTTCGTCTCTGGTCCCGCCTCTTTCTTGGAAGTGACAGGCCGGTCGCCCAACCAGAGCCGCGGGCCGGGCGAGGCGCAGCCAACCGCGCGGCGCGGGGAGGAGCTGGGGAGGGGGCTCGCAGGGCAGGGGAGGGGGCTAGGGGCCTCGAAGGGCTCCGGAGCGGCGACTGGGGAGCCATGGCGCTGGGGCTACAGCGCGCAAGGTACTGGGCTTTGGGGACAACTGATGGGAATCTGGGGACTCTTCTTCCAGCGACCCCTGAGCCGGGTGGGGAAGGCGCGGGTGCAAGCCTAGGGTGCCCTCCGACTCGCGGCTGGAGACACATCCCCGCCGCACCCTCTACCCTAGGGAATTGCAGGGATGGGGGCATTTCCCAGGTCCCCAGCTGCCACGCCCCTCTAGACGGGTGCGACTTCGGGGTCCCTGATCCCCAAGTTCCTGCTGCTCTGGGTTCGCTTCCCCTCGGTGGGGGTGAAACTTGGAGTCCCCACGGAATTGGAGGTGGGTTGCGCTTGAGCAGTTCCCGGGCTTCTGCGGGATGGATTCTCCATCCACATTTTGACACTTCTGGCCTTCGAGCCCCCAGAATTGAGTTTGTTCTTTGCCACCAGACCCCTGGGATCCCCGGAGACATGGGGTACCCCCAAATTGAGCCTTCCCAGATATAGGGAGTCCCTTGGAACGGGGAGTCAGCTCCTGAGTTCAAGAGAAGAGAGATCCCCTTTCACTGGACCCTCCCTGAAGCAGTCTTCCAAACCTTGGTTTCCCTAGAAATAGGCAGAGGGGGCCACCTTTCAGAAGCCACCTAGGACCCTCCGCAGGCGCCTTTTTGTAGCCTTGAAAGGTAGGGTCACCCTTTTAATAACAGGAAAACAACCTGACCCACTTCCCAAAGTCTAGCCTCTTATCTCACTCCTCCACTCCCCACCCCAACTCAGTCCCTGTGACAGTGGGAAGGGGCACCCAAGCCTTATTTTGGGAAGGCCCCAGAGGGTGCTGTGCCTGATTCTGTCCAGGCTGTGATGGGAGCGCCCCCTGCCGCAGTGCCCAGCTGGGGTCATCCTGGGCAGTGGGGTGGGTTTCTGTGTTCCCTTCCCGGCAGGTGCAGATCTGCTGAAGCAGCACAGGGAACTGGTGCGCTGGGTCCACGGCCAGGGGGTCCTATCTGGCCATGTTTTCATGGGACCCCCGGAAAATGTCCCAGGCCCTTGGTTTCCCCTGTCCAATCTGAGGAGTCCAGAAAGCCTCACCCCCTTCCCTCCTCCCTGTCTTGGCAGGTCTGATTGGATCCATCCACACCCCCATGTTTTTCACCTCCCCATCCAACCCCCCCCCCCAGTTCTATTCCAGTCTCTGGCTCTGGGCCTGCCAGAGAACTCTATCCCACCCTTTCTAGGCCAGCCCTAGCTCAGCCCCTCCCAGCACCCCTCCTGGCTGGGTGGGGGCCCCACTTGGCTGAGCTGGGGCGCTCCCCTCTCCCCATCCAAGGCCAGCCCTTTCCTGCGGTGTCATCTGAGCGCCATGTACCACCCACTCATAACTCGCACCCGGATCCCGGCCACGCTCCATCCCCTCCTGCACCCCTAAGATGACACTTGGGCCAAAGAGGGTCTGGGTGATGGTGAGTGGGCCCCCCCCCATACTCCTTTACCTTCTTCCCTTTTCCCAGCTTGGGCTTACTGCCATCCCACCCCAGGCAAGGATGTTTCTCGGGAAGTCCCTGAGGGGCACTTGCTCCCGGGTGTCCCCTAGGTCAGAGGTTTCCCAGAGAACATAGGACTTTGGGTATGGGTGCCCCACTGGATTACCGTGTCCTCGGGAATGAGCAGAGTCAGGGGTGGAGAGACTCCCCAGTCCCCACCCCAAGTCCCTTCTCAAACCCAAACCCTGCCTCTGGCCTCTCAGGCCACATAGGGCAATCCAAGAGGAGTCTCTGCACAGATTCAACCTAAGGCCCCCCTAGATCCTCTGTGCTTTTTGCAAGACCCCCAATACTCATCTGAGTGTCAGAAGAGAGGGCCAGGAGTAGCCCTGAATGTGTGGGTAGGGTCTCCCCATTTTCCCCCTGCCTTTGCTCTCCGATGGCAAGTTCTTCTGGGTGGGGAAGAGATGGGCCTCTCCCTCTCCTGGGTAGGGGGGCACCAGGCCCTAGTCCCCATTCCTAGGCCTTACCCTGGGGCCTCCCAGCCTGGTCCCGCCCCCTGTTCTCTGCTGGAACACAGAGGAAGGGTGGCAGGGTTCCAGCTGCACGTCCCAACCTGGGCAGAGTGCCAAGGGCATGGACCAGGGCTGGGCGTGCGGCCAACTGGGGAGACTGGCCAGCTGGGGAAATCCGGAGGCAGCAGGGGTGGGACAAGGGGAAGGGAAGGGACTGAGGCCACTGGGCAGAGGAGGGGCAGGACAGGGGTCCGCTGGGTGGCATGCCCACCAAGCATGGCATTTAAGAGCACAGGCCCCAAAGTCAGGGTTTAAGTCACAGCTCACCCGCTTCCTGGCTGTGTGGCTTTGTGCCAGCGACGGCTCTCTGAGCCTTAGTTTTGTATCCTGGAAAATGAGGATTATATCTCCCCTCCCCTGCACCAGATCAAGAAGAGGAGCAATGAGGGGACAGATCTTTGGGGCAGGATACCTGACATGTGGGCAGTAAGCTGTGTCCAAGTCAGACAGAGAACTGGACAGAAACAGACACATGGTAGGACTAACAGACGTGTCGAGCAGAGTTGCACATTGACGGAGGGCCCTGGGAATTCCCACTTGGTTACTTGGGCCAGTGACTCTGTTGCTCGGAGCCTCGGTTTCTGATTCTGCAAAAGGCAGATCACTTTTCCTGGTTTGTAAGGTCACTGAAAGGATTTAACGGGGTCTCTAAGCTCATGAGTGTTCAATATAGCAAAGCTATCATTATTATTACTACCCCTGTGATTTAGTCTTCTTCCCAATGTGCCTGTGTACAAGTCGCGTATGTAACTGCACACACACACCACACCACAGGGTTACACCACCGAAGCCCAGGGGTTTCTCCAGGGCCTCAGAGGCTCCTAAACTTTCCACCCCTGATGTGGACAAAGGAAAAAAATAAAAGTTTAACCTTTATAGAGCACTAACCAATTGCCAAGCCCTGTTCTCAGCCCTTGACCTATATTAACTCATTTAACCTTCAAAATAACCCTATGAGTTTGTGTCATTATTATGTTCAGGGAGGCTGTGCAATTTGCCTGAAGTCACACAGCTAATAAGTAATGCAGTCAAGATTGGAACCCTGGACCAGAGGAACTGGCCCCTACTCTGTTTAAATGGAAAGGCCAGAGACTGGGCATCTGGGAAGCAAAGGAGAGAGCCACATTTCCTGTCAGAAGAACATCCGGAGAACAGGCTGGAAGCTGGAAAGAGGGTCCCGCTGCAGCCACCAGCTAGCTCCTTTTAGGGCGGGAGAAGTCAGTCGGCCACAGAGAGGATTATAGAGCCCAGCTGCCTGGGAGGTGGGGGCCAACCTCACCCCCAACCCTCGCTCCCACTCCCTGTTCCCTCTGTTGGGGCCCCCAGCTCAGTGAGGCCCGCCCACCCCCACCCTCTGGGCAGGAAGACAAACAGGGCTGGAACAGAACGGGACAGGACAGAATGTCCTCTGGGTAGAGCAGGACTGGAGGCCCCTGCCCCACACCAGCCCGGAGGGAGGGGATGAGGGCAATTGCTGGTTCCCTCCACCCAGCCTTCCCCCTTCTGTGCCTGCCACCCAGTGGCACTGAGGAGTGTCCTGTCCTCTCACCCACCTTTGCCTATGGGTGGGGCTGCAGGTCTCCTGCTTCGGTGAGGTTGGTGCCCCAAAAGCGGCCTCTGGCTTTTAGGAAGGGGCAGCTTCCCCTCCTAGAGTTCTGCTTTCCAGGGACTAGGGGGCAGGGGTCACAGGGAAGGAATTAGAAGAATGAAGGCTTTGGAACCTCGCTGTCTGAGTTCAAATCTCAGCTCTTTCAGTTAATGACTTTGTGATTTTGGGGGCGAAGGATGTCATCACCTTTCATAGCCTCAGTTTCCCCTTTGTGAAATGGAGGTTTAAAGTGCCCTCTGCCTACGGCTGTCTGATGGAATGAGTACGTATAGGCTGAGTCCTAACTTTGTGCAATGCCAGACACACAAATGCTTAGCAAATTATAGCTGCTTATGAATGGTTTTCTCAATAGTATAAATATAGATAAGATTACATATACTATACAATATGTAACATACTGTATAATTTTCTTCCCCAAAGCTAGAGTTTGGATTCAGACAGACCTGATATTTGACCTTTTTTTTTTTTTGCTTTGCACGGAAGATATAAAGTTTATTTATGTATTTATTTATTTGTTAATGGAGGTACTGGGGATTGAACCCAGGACCTTGTGTATGGTAAGCATGTGATCTACCACTGAGCTATACCCACCTCCTATGTTTGACTTTTTAAGACAGTGGCAGAAATGGGGAGAAGTACTAAACCTGGAGGTTAACCTATGGCCATACAACAGAGGAAATTGAGTTCAGGCAGATCTGTGTTCCAACCCTGGCTTCACTCCTTATGGGCAAGCACTGCATCTCTCTATGCCTTGGTTTCATCTGTTCTATGGGGATAATGTTATTACCTTCCTTTTAGGGATGTATGAGCTAAACAGGTTAATGTAAGTTACACACTTGGCACAGGGAGTGACATAATAGTAAAAGCTGGGTAAGTGGCAGATATTTCTGGAAAAAAAAAAGATATTCATCCTTCTACTCCTAACCCCACACAGGGAATTCAGGCATTTGAAGTGGATTAAAGGGCAGGGATAAGTGGTTAGCTGTTGTTGGCTGGACAGATCCCTGGGGTTGGTTTGCTGGGTCACCCCAGCAGGGCCCCTGTTGGTGGGTCGTTGGACTTTGAGATCTGTACTCCAAGATTCTGAGAACTCAGCTCAGCTGAGAAGGGGAAAGGGCAGGCAAGGGGGTTCTGGGAGGCTGTAGGGCAGGGGGCCTGGGGGGACTGCAGGCATCCTCTTCATGAGCCCTCCTATCCCTGGCTCCAGGCCAGCTCTGCCAGCTCCCTCCTAGCAGGAGGCCTCCTTGTTCCCTAGGAGTCCCAAGCCCAGAGAATAAACAGCAGATAAGTCAGGGAGAGGACAGAGCGGTCCTGGGCGCGCCTTGGAGAGGAGTGGGGCACCTGAGGGAGGGCAGCATGGGCTGGCTTGGGGACAGATAAAACCCGAGTCGAGGAGCGACTCCAGAATATAACCTTCCCAGGCCCAGAGAGCTCCAGGAACTCGCCTGGGCCACAAAGCGAAGCCTGCACAGTCGCAGCCCTGCCCTATATTAGCCCGGGCCCCATGTGGCAGCACCCCATGTGCCTGTCCCGTCCAACTCTTTCCCTTCCCGGGGCGTCGCCAGTGAACGCTTCCCATGCCCTCAGGTCGAGCACAGAGCTGCGCAAGGAGAAGTCCCGGGATGCGGCCCGCAGCCGGCGCAGCCAGGAGACCGAGGTGCTGTACCAGCTGGCGCACACGCTGCCCTTCGCGCGTGGGGTCAGCGCCCACCTGGACAAGGCCTCCATCATGCGCCTCACCATCAGCTACCTGCGCATGCACCGCCTCTGCGCCGCAGGTGAGCCTCGCCCCCGGGAATTCCCACCTCGGCAAGGCCGGTCCCAGGGAGGCCCTTCCTTCGGGAAGCCTTATCCGGACAAGGTCCCGCCCCCCGCCATGTCTTCCCGGCGGAGCCCCATCCCTCTGGAATCCACTTTCCTGGAGAGGCCCTGCCCCCTTCGAATTCCGGTCCAGTCAGAGCCCAGTTTCCTAGGAAGTCCCACCCCCTTAGAAGTCGATCATTTGAGGCCCCACCCCTTGGGATGCTCCCTCGGGAAGCTCCGGCGGAGCCTTAGGGTTAAAACTGTAAGGAATAGGAAGGAGGCTGGCTAACTCCCTAAGGCCCATGGACCCTTAGGATTTGGTCCCCTGGGAGATTTTCCTCTAGGCTTCGTCCCCGTGTAAGTAATATCCCCAGGAGGCTTTGCAGCCCAACGTTTAATTACTTGAGAGAGTCCCTCTTCCCCTCTTCCCCAGATCCCTGGTTCTACTGCTTGTCCCCTTAGTAGCCTTCTCCTTGAATTCTCACCCTGTTAGAATTCTCCTCTGCGGGAGGCTTGCACACGCACACGCACACGAACACACACACACATCTTGGAATCCCAGGACCCTTTAAAGATTTTATTACGGGGAAAGTGGAGTCATCCTCTGACAGGCTCTGCCCCTTAGACTTCCCTGTCCTGTAGAATTTTACTTCTCTAGGAGGCTCTGTCTCCTTAGAATTCTGTCACTTGGGAGTCCTTGCTTCTTTAGAGTTCTGCCTATCTGGAAGGTCTTGGCCCCCTTGGAATTCTGACTCCCTTAGGCCCTGGTCCCTCTGAATTTTGACCCCTGTGAATTTTATGCCCTTAGAATTCTGTCCTCCTAAGAGATCTGTTCCCTTGGGAGACCCCACCTCCTTAGAATTCTGTCCCCCAGGAGGCCCTGCCCCCTTAGAATTCCAATCCTTGGTGGCCCTGCCCTCTTCCTTGGGATTCCAAGTGACTGGGATGTGCCCCACTCACCTGGGGGTACCTATAAGCTCCTCTGAGTGAGGGAAGGCAGAGGGAGGCTAGCCAGGGCAGGTTCACGGCTGACTAGAGATGCCCCATCCACCTTGGTCTGGACACCAGGGGAGTGGAACCAGGTGGGAGCAGGGGGCGAACCACTGGATGCCTGCTACCTGAAGGCCCTGGAGGGCTTCGTTATGGTGCTCACCGCCGAGGGAGACATGGCTTACCTGTCAGAGAATGTCAGCAAACACCTGGGCCTCAGTCAGGTAAGAGGAGCTGCCTGCTTCGTGCAGGTGATGCTGGGATACAGAAGTGACCAGAACCACCTGAGTCCTGTTTTTACAAGGCCCACAGTGCAGAGAGGAGACAAATATGTCACCAGACAGGAAGACTTGGAATGGTCAGGGCTGGGGTGGGGCAATCTAGGGCGTGATGCAGGCTAGGGGTGGAGGGTGGTACCTGACCCAGCCTGAGAGGAAATTGGGGGCTTCCTGGAGGAGACTTCTGTGCTAACACCTGAAGGACTTAGCCAGTCAAAATGTATGGAGTGGGATGGGTATAGCTCAGTGGTAGAGCACGTGTGCTTATTATGCACAAGGTCCTAGGTACAATCCCCAGTACCTCCATTAAAGTAAATAAATAAAACCCCAAATTACTCCCCCCAAAAAAAGAGGGAGAAAAAAAATTTAAAGGTATGGGGAATGGGGGGTGGGGGTATAGCTCCATGGTAGAGCACATACTTAGCATGCATAAAGTCCTGGGTTCAATCCCCAGTACCTCCATTTAAAAAAAAAAGAATTTTTTAAAAAAGTGTGGGGAGTGGATGGGACCAGCGAAGACTGGGAGTGTACGTGGAGGAGAGGGAAGAGAATATGTGAAGACACAGAGGTAAGATAAAACAGAGCATTTGGGGGAAATAAAGCCCTTGAATCACACTAAGTGCAGAGTGCCATGGGAGAAAGTGAGAGAAAAAAGTCTAAAGAGGCCATCATTTAGGACCAAAACTGAAGGTTGATCTCCAGGTCACTGGGGAGCCATGGGAGGATTTTAAGCAAGAGAGAGGTTGTGTCAGAAAGGTAGATTCAGATTTACATTTTAGAAAGAGCCCTCTAGATGCCGCACAGAGATAGAATTGGAGGGAGTGAGACTAGAAGCTGGGAGATGTGTAAGGGGGTGGATGCAGGGCCCCAAGTGGGAGAAGAGAAGTAGGAGGAGGCGTCTGGGGATGGAAAGACAAACAAGAGACGCTTAGGGAGTAGAACTAATTTCAGCTAATCCTTACAGCAAGACCCATGAGAGGACTACGATTCTTTTTCCTATCTCCCATGATGGGCTCCATAGTTGACATTTGTTCCTTTCCCCGCCTTGTTATCCCACTCTTGGCACCAGTTTCTCTGTTAGTTTGAGCTCCTGGGCTCAGACAGGTGAATGTCCCGAGGTCCCAAAGCTAGCAAGTGGCAGAGCCAGGAATCAAATCCAGCTACAAGAGGTGCTGTTAGGGGGAGGGAGATCTCCCTCCTCTGCTATTCAGCATCAGCACTGGACCGTGAGCTAGGTGGGTCACCTGTGTCACCTCCTCCCAGCACCAGGCTCACTTCCTGAATTAAAACCAAAAGTTGAGTCTTTGGCTTGCTAAACAGGTGGGATTTGAATGGGGTCTCACCTCAGGGCCTTTGCACTTGCTGTTCCCTCTTTCCTTCAAAACACTCTACTCCGGAGACCCACGGGACCACCTCACTGGCTTTGTTCAGCAATTTGTATAAATGTCACTTCTTCCAGAAACTGTCCCTGACTACTGCCTCTCAGATAGCATCCCATCATTTCATCATCTTACCCTGCTTTAGTTTTCTTCATCTCACTTATGATATTGTTTTACAGATGTATGTTGTTTTGTTTGTTCATTGGCTCTCTTTCCCCACTAGCCAGTAAGGTCTGAGAAGCAGGGATTTTTGTCTTGGTAGCCACTGCTGTAGCCATAGGATCTAGAAGAGGGTCTGGCAAATTATATACTAGAGAAAGGAATGAATGAATGAATGAGTGAGTGATTGAATGAATAAGGAGACTGGTGAAGTAATCTAGGCTCGTGAATTAGGGCAGAAAATGAGGATGGGAAGGAGGCCCTGGAAAAAGTGCTTTTCCTCCAAGACACCCCCCTTGTTTCCCTCCCTCCCAGCTTGAGCTGATTGGACACAGTATCTTTGATTTTATCCATCCCTGTGACCAAGAGGAGCTTCAGGATGCCCTGACCCCCCGGCAGAGTGAGTTCCCTGGAGGCCTCTACCCCCACATTACAGAAACTGAGGCTCCATCCTTCCCCTTAGCGTATCCCCTCCCCTTCTGGAATACTGGATAGAGAAAATGGGAAGGGGAGGACGTGGCCCCACCCTGGGGGTCTGAAGGAGCATTTTGTTTCCCCGGGAGACCCTTTCTGGTTCCAGGTCTCAATTTTGGGGATGAGGCTGGGGAGAGTTTAGTAACCAGGGTGCTGGAGGGGACTGGGCCCTGCTGCAAGCTGCCCGCTGACCTGCTCCTCCCCACCTCCCGCCCCTCAGGCCTGTCCAGGAAGAAGCCTCAGGCCCCCACTGAGCGGTGCTTCTCCTTGCGCATGAAAAGCACCCTCACCAGCCGTGGGCGCACCCTCAACCTCAAGGCGGCCACCTGGAAGGTGGGCAGGGTCTGCTGGGGGCCTCACAGTGGGTTGGAGTCTGGGGTCTCCTGGGCCATGGATCCAGTGGGCTGGGTCTAGGGCATCCTTTGGGTATCTAGGAGGTTGGGGATTTGGGGGTCCTTGTATCCTTTCTTAATCTGGATCTCTGGGGGCCTGGGGCTGGGGTCCTCAGCCACCTGGGGCTGCGGTCTCTGTGGGGTTGGAATCTTGGGTCTTCAGAGCACCCTGAGTCTTCAAATCCAGAGATTGCCAGAACCTCCTTAGGTTGGATCTCTATGGAACTGGGGTCTGGGGGTCCTCAGAGCTCCCTGAGCTGGGTCTCTGGAGTCCCCAGGGATTTCTTCTTCTCAGCTCCCTGAGGGGAGGGGCCCACAGGGACACACCTCCCAGCCCCCTGGGTAGCCCCAGGCCCGGGTGCATCCCCCTCCTCGCCCCCCTCCCCCCCACACCAGGTACTGCACTGTTCTGGACACATGAGGGCCTACAAGCCCCCCGCACAGACTTCCCCAGCTGGGAGCCCCAACTTGGAGCCCCCCCTGCAATGCTTGGTGCTAATCTGTGAAGCCCATCCCCCACCCCGGCAGCCTGGAGCCCCCGCTGGGCCGGGGGGCCTTCCTCAGCCGCCACAGCCTGGACATGAAGTTTACCTACTGCGATGAGAGGTGGGCAGGAGCCAGGGGCCCACCCACCCAGGGCCCACCCACCCACCTGCTGGCCCGTTCTTCCTCTTCCTTTCCATCCAAGTTCACGCACTGTCTCCTCTCCAACCCCCAGCTTCTTTCTCTGGTCTGTTTCTGTCTCTCCGAGTGTGTCTGCCTGTCTCTGAATTTGCTGTGGGTCTTCTTATGTTTGATTTTCCCTCTTCTCTCTCTCTTTTGAGTCTTTCTCTTAGTTTCTCCCTCCCTGTCCCTCTTTTGGGTTCCCTAAATGAGTCAATTTGCTTAAAGCCTTTAATACAGTGCCCAACATGCAGGAAGCACTCAAAAGCTGTCATTACTAATTCTCTGTCTGTCCTTCTTTCTTTTTCTCTCTCCCTTTCTTCCCTCTGCCCTTCTTCCCCTGCCTTCCTACCTAATTTTTCTGCCTCTTTCCTCTTTCCCTCTCCGTGGAGTCATGCTTAGGATGGGCGACTCTGGGTTCAGACTGCTTGGGTTTAAATGCTGGCTGTGCATCCTTGGCCAAATGACTTCACCTCTCTGTGCTACACTTTCCTCATCCATCCTCTGAAATGACAGCAGAACCTCCTTTGAGCAGTTGTCCTGAGCACTCAGTGAGTCACCTGGTATGAGGCAGTCTAGAAGTGCCTAGTTTTTAAATCATTATCATCATTATTACTTTCTATTTCTATTTATTCTTTCTTATCTTTCTTCTTGTGATCATCTTTCTTCCTTTCTCTTCCCCTCTTCTATTTCTTTCACATTCTCTTTTTTCTCTCTTTTCATCACTCTTCCCATTTTTACCCCCTTTCTCCTCCTGTGTGAGCTTCCTGTGCCTGCTGTGACATGTTACCACCAACGTAGTGGCTCAAAACAAAACAGATTCTCTATCTCAGAGTTCTGGAGGTGAGAAGTCTAAAATGAGTCTTATGAGGCTTATATCAAGGGCTGTGTTCCTTCTGGAGGCTCCAGGGAAGAATCCATTTCCTGCCATGAAAGCTTCTGAATATCTCCTACATTCCTTGGCTCATGGCCCCTTCCTCCATCTTCAAAGCACATCCCTCCAACCTCTGCCTCCAACATCACATCTCCTGTTCTCACTCTGATCACCTGCTCCCTTCCTATAAGGACTCCTGTAATTACACTGGGCCTGCCCTGATAATCCAGGGTAATCTCACCATGTCAGGATCCTTAACTTGATCACAACGGCCGAATCCCTTTTGCCTTGTCAGGTGGCACATTCACATGTTCTGGAAGTTAGGATGTGGACATCATCAGGGCCATTATTCAGCCTACCGTACTCCTCTCTTTCTATTTCTCACTCTCCTTTTCTCTCTGTTACAACCCTGTCTCTCTCTGTCTTGCTGGCTTCATCCCTGCCTTCCCTTCCCCCTCCCTTCACCCACCTCCACCTCAGCCAGTTGACCTGACCGGGCCCCACCGCACCCACCTCAGGATCGCGGAGGTTGCTGGCTACAGCCCTGATGACCTGATTGGCTGTTCTGCCTACGAGTACATCCACGCACTGGACTCGGACGCAGTCGGCCAGAGCATCCACACCTGTATGTGTTCTGGTTCCACTTCCTGTGCTGCATGGCCCCAGCCGACACCAGCTCCCAGCTCCCCAAGGAACCTTCTCTTCCCCGGCCCCCTCATATTCAGTCCCCTGCCCCCAGAGCCTTCCCTCCCCAGTTGCCCTGACCCCTCCCCCTCCCCCTCCCCAGTGCTGAGCAAGGGCCAGGCAGTAACGGGGCAGTACCGTTTCCTGGCCCGGAGTGGTGGCTACCTGTGGACCCAGACCCAGGCCACAGTGGTGTCAGGGGGCCGGGGTCCCCAGTCTGAGAGTATCATCTGCGTCCACTTCCTGATCAGGTAAGCGGGAAGGAGGTGGGGTGGCTGTGTGCATGGGTCTGGTCTGCATATGTGCGAACAGGTGTGTGTGTGTGTATGTACAAGTGTGCATGTGTATTGTATACACATGTGTGAGAGGGAGCGTGCACATGTACGTGTATGTGGAACACGAGTGACTGACCACACGTATCTGCATGTAGACATGATGTGCCTGGGTGTGTACTGTTAATTTAAATGAAAAGAACTCTACTCAAGTTAAAATAAGAAATCAAGCAGAATCATGGGGGCTTTTTTTGCTTTTTAAAAATTGAGGTGTAATTTACATATAGAAAATTCACTCTTTTTTGTATATGGTTCTATGAGGTTTTCTTTTTTTTTAATGGAGATACTGGGGATTGAACCCAGGACCTTGTGCATGCTAAGCATTTGCTGTACCACTGAGCTGTACCACCCCGAAACCCCCAGTTCTGTGAGTTTCAAAAAAATGCGTGGAATTGTGTAACCTACCACAGTCAAGCTATAGAGTAATTTCATCACCAAAAAACATTCTTTCATAGTGAACTCCACCCAACTCCCCCAGTTTCTGGCAAGCACTGATCTGTTCTCTGACCCTAGAATTTTGCCTTTTCCAGAATGTCATGTACATGGAATCCTACAGTATATAGCCTTTTGAGTCTGGCTTCTTTCACTTAGCCTAATATACTTTAGATTTATCTATGTGATGGTATGTATCAATAGTTCCTTTCTAATGCTGAGTAGCATTCTGTGGCATGACTATGTATGGACCACAGTTTATCCTGTCAACAGTTGGAGGACATTTGGACTGTTTCCTACTTGGGATGATTATGAAAAAAGCTACTGTAAATATTCTCATAAAGGATTTTGTGAGATCATGTTTTCATTTCTCTTGGGTAAACACCTAGGAGTGGAATGGATGGGTCATGTGGCTGGTGTATGTTTAACTTTGTAAGAAACTGCCAAACTGCTTTCTAAAGTGGCTGCACCATTTTGCTTTCCCATCTGCAATGTACAAGGGTTCCAGTTCCTCCACATCTTTGCCAGCGTTTTGTATTGTCTGTTTTTGTCTTGTTCTGTCTTAATTGGAACCATGCTAATAGATGTATAATGGGAAATCATAGGCTTGCCCCCTTCCATCAGGCATCTGAGAAGTTTCTCACCATAATAACATTGTGATTAGGGCAACCAATAATCACCTAAGACAAAGAGAATTGCAACTTTTCTTTGAAGATTTTCTGCATAAATTTCTAAAGCCGTGGGGCTTTTCCCAGGTCTTTTTGGTCAAGAACAGATTCTATTAGAAAAGAGATTGGTAACAGGAATATTCATACAATATTCTTCATACTGCACAAGAAAACAAGACTGATCATCTTTGAAATGTTCTCACTTTAACACCCTTTCAAATCAGAATCTTTGAATAACTTGTAGCCACAGGAGGAAGTCTCTTCATTGTCAGAGCAAAGGAGAGGGAACCCGCCCCCATCTCTCCTGGGAGCTCCTTTTATTCCTTATGAAGATTTGCCTTTTGATGACCAGACCCTGGAATTTCTATCTTTTGCACTCTAAGCAAAGAGCAGGCCAGGAGAGTTCAGTTTTACTGGCAGAAAACGAGTGAAGAATGAATAGGAGTTTACTTAGTAACAGTGAGATGAGCATATGGTATGAATCATCCTGAGCCCTGTGTACACACTGTGTGGCGTGCAGCTGTGTGGCTCTGTGTGTGTGCTCAGGTGCTGATGCTTTGAGGAATGCATCCCTTCTCTTCCACACCTAAGCCTCCTTCCACTGCAGTGAACGCTTGCTCCATAAAAATAAAACTCACTTATACGGGGCACTTACAACATTTCAGGCCCTGTGCTTTGTGCTCACAACAACCCTGTGAGGTATAGCTATTATTCTGATCCCCATTTTTTTAGGAGAGAAAACTGAGGACCAGAGAGGGGAAGTCACTTGCCCAAAGTCACACAGCTGGTAACTGACAGAGCTGGGTTTGATCCAAGGCTAGTCTGGAGGCTACATGAATCACCACCAAACCACACAATCTCTTATCTTGCCATTTGCTCAAGCCAGAAATCTGGGAGTCTCTCCTGAGTCCTTTTTCTCACCCTTCATACCCCCATCCACTCTATCTGCCTCTGGAATGTATCTTGAATTTGCTTCCCTTCTCTGTGTCTCTGTGGCCACCACCATCTCTTTCCTTGTTTATAGCATTAACCTCCCAACTGAGATCTAAAGCTGGTCTGGACTCCACTAATCACACACCAGCCGAGGTCAGAGTGAAGGCTCTGAAATACAAATCAGTTCATATCTCTCCCTGGCTCAGAGCCCTTCTGTGGTTCTCCAGTATCCTTGAGGGAAAGCCCAAGTACCTTAACAGGGCTCACCAGGCCCTGTGTGACCTGACTCCTGCCTCCCTCCCCTTCTCACTCCAAACCTCAGGGCCTTTGCACATGTGGTTTCCTCTGCCCAGGATGTTCTTCCTTCTTCCCTCCTCCCCTTTCCCTGAATCACACCCACTCATCCTTCTGGTCTCAGCTCAGTCATTACTTACTGAGAGACCTTTCCTGAGCCCCCAGAGGAGGTCAGATCTCCCTTTTTTCTCTCCTGATATCCTGTATTTTGCTCCAGAGCAGTTAAAACCATTTGTAATTATCCTATATTTGTGTGTTCAACAAGGCCTTCTTCCTTGATTGCCTTTTTCAAAATCCCAAATCTCCTTCTCTGCTTTATTTTTTTCCCTAATACTTACTATCTAACCCAACACTGTCCCATAAAAGTGTGTTGCAAGCCACATGTGTTATTTTGAATTTTCTCCTAGCTGTTAAAAAAGTAGAAAGAAACAGGTGAAAGTAGTTTTAATAATACCTTATTAAATACAGTAATAATATGTTATATCACATCAATAATACATTGTTAAATCAATAATACATTATTAATTAAGGTAATTAATAATACACTAATATACTATACATTGTGTTATATGTATATGTATATATATTTCAATACATCCCAAAATGTCTTTTCAATGTGTAATCAATATGAAAAATTATTAATGTGATATTTTAGATTTTTTTTTGTACTCAATTTTTTCAATCTGGTGTGTATGTTACACGGATAGTATGTCTCAATTCCAGCCAGCCATGTTTCAAGTGCTTCACTTAGTGTAAAGAGATATAATACATTTTGTAACTAGATAGATACATTTACCAACAAATAATATCTTTTATTTAAAGTCTGTCTTTTCCCACTAACATTTCAGCCCCATGAGAGGAGAGAGTTTTTTCTGTCTTCACTGCCAAATCTCCAGCACCTAGAACAATGCCCGGCACACAATATCTGCTCAATAAACAATCACGGCAATTACATAGAGCTTACCATGTACCAGTCACAGTTCTATGCACTTGACATATATTAACCCATTTAGGCCTTGTGACAACCTGGGGAGGAGGTAATATGATTTGTCTCTCTTTACAGAAGAGGAAAATCAGGCCCAGAGAGGTTTAGCCATGCACTCAAGGTCACACAGCTCATAAGTGGCAGAGCTGGAATTTGTGGGTTTTTTGGAGGGGAGTATGTAATTAGATTGATTTTAATGGAGGTACTGGGGATTGAACCCAAGACCTCGTGCATGCTAAGCACACATTCTACCACCAAGCTATACCCTACCCCCTTAGAACTGGAATTTGAACCCAGGCTGCTGGCTGCAAACCCCTTGTTCTTAACCACTCAGTATTTATTACTGGTTGTCCAGGAAATGTTTGTGGAATGAATGAACATGTGCATTCCACATGGCATGTATGCTGTGCGAGCCCAGGTGTACAGAGTATGTGTGCAAATCTGACCATGTATACACTTGGGCATGTATGAGTGAGTGTTCCTGTCTGTGCCTGTGAGTACCCAGCGTGGGTACAAGTGTGACTGTCTGAGCTTGAGTTTTTCAAAAAAGGTGGAGTGGCTTTGTTCCAGTCTAAATTGGTATGTTTCCAGCTCAGAAGGGGTTGGTGAGGGTGGGGAAGGGCCACAGCTTTTCAAAGAGCTGGTGAAAGGACCACCCATGGTCTGTCCTGGATGGTGTTATGCAAATGAGATGCAAATGAAGGCCTGATCCTCTACCCCAAACCAGTTCTCCGGAAGCCAGTTTGCAGAGGGAACAATTTGAGTTGCTTCTGCAGCTAGAGACTGGGGAGGGGAGGAGGGGAGGCGCGAGGGACATAAGGATGTAGTTATAAATTCGTCTCTTGAATGTGACAAATGTCTATGAATAGAAGCTTCATAAATAAAATCTTATTCATAAAAATATATCCCTATAAATTCTTCGTATTTGGTAGCATAAGAATACATTAAATATTTATTCTTCATCAATGCATTTATAAGAATGTGTTTATAAGTAAGTATCTATAAAGACAGTATTGAGTTTCTGCCTTTCACTCCCCCTTCTCTCTGCCCCTCGTGGCCCCTCAGTCTCTCTTCTCTCTCCCCCAAGGCTGCGCTAAATGCCAACTCTTTTTTTCTGTCTTTCCCTCCACAGAGGGAGCTTGGGAAGACACACTTAACTTTCTTTTCAATGCTATTCTAATAAAAAGCATTCAACAAAATTTAAATCCTTAAAAGAAACAAGTAAAGGTGGCAAATTATTTTCTGCACGATGCCCTCCAGCCCCTGGATGAGACTGCCTCCCCTTAATGGACATCATATGAGGGGGCTGCCCGGGCAGGGGCCATGGCCCCTCTCTGACTCCCACTCCCCTTTCTGCCCTGTACCCTAGCCGGGTGGAAGAGACCGAAGTGGTGCTGTCCCTGGAGCAAACGGAGCGACACTCTCGACACTCTCGCAGACCTGTTCAGCGGGGCGCCCCCTCTCAGAAGGATGCCCTTAATCCTGGGGACAGCCTTGGTATGGGGCGGGGCTGGGGAGGGGGTGTGTCCCCAGGACACTTGGGAGAAAGCCCAAGTGCCTTAATGTGACTCATCTGCTCGTGTGCGATCTGACTCCTGCCTCCCTCCCCTTCTACTCTCTGAACTACACCAGTTTCCTCAGTGCTCTTGAAGCATCCCAGGCACTTTCATGCCTCAGGGCCTTTGTACATGCAGTTTCCTCTGCCCAGAATGCTCTTCTTTCTTCTGTCCTCCCGCTTCTCCTGTGTCCCTGGGATGACTGCTACAGTCTTGCTGTCTGCTCTGAATTCTGCTGTGGCTCCCCATTGCCCCCAATTTCAGTTTGTTCCCTGCTCCCACCTCAGTGTTCTTTGACTTCCAGTAATCTTGACCCTTCCAAGTCTGGCTTCTTTCTGCCTCTTCCTTTTCCCCTGCTTGACCTCCCCTCTCAATCCTAGATGGATGAGCTTCCCTCCCTGTTTGTTCTTTAAGGCCTCACCGCCTCCAAACTGTTGCTGGCAGCCCAGGCTCCTGGGCATAGTATGAGGTTACGGGTATCCTTTCCTTTTCTGGCTTAGAACTGGCTCGGGACCACATCTTGGCCTCCAGGGACCTTAGAACCTCCTTGAGGGCCTTGGGCCAGTCTTTCCTCCTAGCATGCAAGCCCCCCAGAGCTGAATGGCTGAGTGCTGTTCTATGCCGCTGGAGAATCGGGTCAGTCATGTGCCCTGGCCCAGCCATGTCAATTTTCAGTATTAAAACATTTCCCCACCTTTGGATAATTGTTACTGTCCCGAGTCTACTGTGTGCCCCCCACCCCATGTCAGCCCCTCCCCTCGGACCTTACAGGGCCTCACCATAATCTGGCAACTGAAGGGACAGCACCTGGCCCAGCAGGAGTTCTCCAGGACTCAGCTCCCAGCACTGTGAACAGTCTCCATACTGATGACAAAGTCAACTATGCTACCTGGGGTTGGCGTGGAGGACTCTGGCCCCCATCCCTGGGTGACCATCCTGTGTCCTCCCCGTCTTGATGTGTCCTGCAGACACCTCTGGTCCCCGGATCCTGGCCTTCCTGCACCCCCCTACCCTGAATGAGGCCGCCCTGGCCGCTGACCCCCGTCGTTTCTGTAGCCCTGACCTCCGTCGCCTCCTGGCACCTATCCTGGATGGGACTTCAGTAGCTGCCACCCCCAGCGCACCCCCTGCCACACGGCACCCCCAAAGTCCTCTTCCGGTAAGCAGTGCCTTCCACTTCAGCCCTCAGGGTCCAAGCTGTTTTGGCCTTTGGCTTGAACCCTGCTATTCCCTGGGCCTTAGTTTCTCCATCTTTATAGTGGAAAGGCTGGGACGAGGTGGAGTCTGGGGTTCCTTCAAGACATAGATTCCTGATTCTTTGACTGTTATCTGGACCAAAATCTAAGATGTTTGGGACTGGCATGACCCAAGCATCCAGGCTCTCTGAATTTTGATCTCAGAGTCAAGAATGTCTAATGCCTTAAATGACACAAACCTAGATTCAGATCCTGACTCTCCCACTTACCAGCTGTGTTACCCTGGATAAGTGGGACCTCAGTTTCTTTACCTGTAAAATTAGGGTAACAGCAAGTAGCCACCTCATAGGTCATTGTGAGAGTTCAATGCAGTCATTCCTGGGAGGCACCTAGTAGGTGTTCAACAGACCTTGAGAGTTACTGTTTTTACTTAAAGAGTCCAGATAGTCTGACCTTTGACTCGGGTCCATATTACCTGGTGTTGACTTTCCTTATTCCCACCCTCATGCCCCCCTCCCAAATATCTTCTGTCCACCAGAGTTACAGACTGTAACCTTTGACCCTGCCCTTTACCCTTGGGGCAGCTGGACTCTACATTGTTTCCCCCCAGACCTTAAACCCCAGAGGCCCCCATATCTTGGCCTCAGGCTTTGGTCTTTGGAACCTTTGATGTTTGCTTAGTCAGTCTATACCTAGGCACTCAGACTTTTGAACACCCAGGTTCAGAACTCACTTGCATGTGCAATTGGACCCCCTTGGTGTCCCAGCTGTCTGACACTTGATCCTCACTTCTACTCCTGAGCTCAGATGTTTAGACTGCCTTACAGCTGACATCTCCCAAGCTCAAGATTTCCTTAAGTCTTTCCTCTCTCCCCACAGGCTGATCTCCCAGATGAACTACTTGCGGATGTGGAGAATGCACACAAACTCTTAGCCTCTGGGAAAGACCTTGAGGCAGTGGAGACAGATCTGGATATAGCTCAGGTAAGAGCTGGCATGGAAGGAACCCTCTTTACCTTTGGGTTCTGACATATCTAAGCTTTAGAGAAAGATGGTGGAATGGTTAAGGGGGTGAATGGATGGATAGATGGATGGGCCATTGTATTCATCAGATGGATGATGGTGGAGAGGTGGATTGGTGATGCTTAGACAGATATTAGGATGGATGGATGGGTGGATGATAGATATTTGGACGGGTAGTTAGATAGATAAGACTATTGAATGGATGACAGGTAGATTTTGGATGATTGATTGGATAGATAAATTACAGTGGCATGATGTATCAGCTATATTACTGCTGTGTAACAAATTACCCCTAAACTCAGCACCTTCAATGTCACACAGTTTCTGAGAACGAGGAAACTGGGACCAGCTTAACTGGATGTTTTTTTTCTTAGAGTTGCTCATGAGGTTGAAGTCAAGTTCTCAGTCAGGGCTACAGACATCTGGGGCTAGAGGATCCACTTCCAAATTCATGCAGGTGGTTGCTGACAGGCCTCAGTCATTCACTGGCTTCAGCTGGAGGCCTCAGTTCCTCACCATGTGGGCCTGTACAGAGCATCCTAAGCATCCTCATAACATGGCAGCTGGCTTTCCCCAAGGCAAGTTATCCAAGAGACAGAGAGTGAACCCAAGACAGAAGATGCTGTTTTCTATAACTTACTCTCAGAAGTGACATACCATCACTGCTGCCATATTATGTTGACAATGTGGAAGGCAAACACAAACAAGTGTGAACTCCAAAAGGCAAGGATCACTGGGACTCCAATGATTCATGTCTCTGCCTCACACAAAATACACTCACCCTCTCCCAAGGCCCCCCAAAGTCTCTTCCCATTACAGTGTCAGCTTTAAGTCCAGAATCTCATCATCTAAATCAGGTCTGGGTGTGGCAAAGCACTTCAAATACAGTTCTTCTCAATCTGCTGGCCTGTGAACTAAAGAGACAAGTTACCTGTCACCCATAAACCCAACATACACACCAGTGTGGAGAGCACACTGGTCCACAGCAGTTTTGAAATCCAGTTGGGCAAATATCAAAAGTTCTTGGGTCAGAACTCATTCTTACTACTTCCTAGGAGTTTTTCTCCATGGTTCTTGGCTCCACCCTCTGGGCTCTTGGCACTTCACTCTGAGTCATCCTTTTTTTTTTTCATAAAAAGGTAACCTGGAGTTGCAGCTGAGTGGTTTTTGTAACCTTCTTCCTGCTTATAGAACTTTGATGGTCCAAAGGTCTCTTCATTTTATACCATCTCTGTCCCTTTCAGTCCAAGCTGGCAATATTTCTTCATAAAAATTCATATAAACTTCATATAATTCTCTTCAAATTAAGAAAAACACTGTGTATGTCTTACATGAATCTCTTCGGAGTTCACTCCATTAGACAAAAGTCGTATCCACAAATCTCTGAGATAAACCCTTCTCTACCTTGGGCTTCTGCTGAGATGGCTGAGTGACACTGCCTCGAAGTTTAATAGAAGCCCTATTGTTTGACTGAGAAGATCCATGAGACACATCCTCTAGAGAACCTTGTATCTGACTGAAAGATACTCTAGGGACCACCTATCTTTCTGAAGTCTTAACAAGGAATTTTAGAGACATACCCTGGGCTTCATCCTTAAACTGTGCTTTCCTGAGAATGCCCTCTTTGCTCAGAAACCGTTTCTTTCTTTTCTTTTCTTTTTTTAGAAACCATTTCTTAATTTTAGCATCCTTTGATATCTGGGGAGTTCCCAGAGTCAGCCAAACCCAAGGTGAGTGGCACAGTCATCCAGACTGCCAAGTCTGACATCAGCCACATGTTTGGGGGTTCCCAGGGCCACCCTCATTTCAGATCAGCTGCCTACAAATTCAGAGATTCCAACAGATTCCTGAAGGTTCAGTAATTCACTCACTAGCACTAGGCATAAAACTTAGGAAAGCATTATACTTATGATTACAGTTTTATTATAGCAAACGAATATTATAGCCAGAGGAAGAGATTCAGAGGGTGGAATCTGGGACTGCGAGAGTCCCCTGTGCAAAGCGTTCATGTCCCCAGGGATGATATCACTCCCACCCTGGGCATTGATGTGTGGCAACCATCTCTCCAGAGATTTTATTGAGCTTTCATTATGTAGGCATGATCAGTTGAGTTATTGCCGATGTAGTTGAATTCCATCTCCAACTCCACCTCCTCCAACACACACACTTTCCTTGGAGGTCAGTCTGATTTCATGTGGCCCAGAGCCCTAGCCCTCAAATCACGTGGTTGGCCTTTCCAGTATGGCCAGTCCCCCTCCTGAGTCATGTCGTCAGCATAAACTACCAGGTGTGGTCCAAGGTGTCTCCCATGAGCAGCAAAGACACACTTATCACTCGGGAAATTCCAAGGTTCAGATGTTACCTCCCAGGAGCCAGGACAAAGGTTGAACCTCTTTTTGGGGGTAAGGTTAATTCTTCAGTACACAGAGGAGTTGAGCATTTTCAAGGCCTTCAAGCTCCAGACTCATGTTGCACATTTCTTCCTTTATCTTCTCTCTCCCTTTGCCTTCTACTCCAAGGAGCAAGGAGAAATCAGTGTTCTGGCTGGAAATCTCCTTAACTGGATCACCCAGTTCATTAGTTATGTTTTCTACTTTCCATAAAACTGCAGGTGACAGTGTTGCTAAACTTTCAGCCACTACTCAACCAAAACTCCTGTCTTCCAGCTTCTGATGACACTTCCCCTCAGGCCTCCAGTGGCAGGCTCCTCATGGTTCAGGTTTTGACTAATGGCTTGTTCAAGGCAATCTGGGCTTCCTCTGACAGGCCTTCCAAAGTCTTTCCAGCCCAAACCCCCTGCCCAGTGCAAAAGCTGCTCCCACATTTTAGGTTTTTGTTATGGCCACACCCCTCTCTCGGTATCAAAAACTTATTTGTTCTCTGTTTCTGGATAAGAAACTACCATCAAACTTCACAGGTTAAAACAATGAGCACGTATTACTTTGTGTACTTTCTGAGGGTCAGGGGTTTGGGAGTCACTCAGCTGGGTGGCTTTTGCTCAGGGTCTCTCATGAGGTTGCAATCAAGACATCCCACCCAGGGTTGCAGTCATCTGAAGGCTTGACTGGGACTAGAAGATCCACTTCCAAGATCTCTCTCAGCTGTTGGCAAGAGGTGTCAGTTTCTTGTCAGGTGACCCGAGAGAGAGAGAGAGCAGAGCAACAGTGGAAGCCACGGTATCTTTAAAAGCTAATGTTAGAAGCCACACACCATCATCTCAACAGCATATTGTTACCAGGCCAGCCTCAGCCACTGTAGTGGAGACTAAACTAGGGTGTGAATACCAAGAGGTGAGGATCCTTGGGAGCAGCTGGCTACCGTAGAGTCCTTCTACCTGTTTTACAGATGAGGACACTGAAGCTCAGACCCTTGACCTCAGGCACACAGCTCCGAAGTGGTGGATCTGGGACGCCAGCCCAGGCCCACCCAAGGCCAAGGCTCATGCTCTTAACTCCCTCCTGCCCTCCGCAGGACGTCGATGCTCTGGATTTGGAGATGCTGGCCCCCTACATCTCCATGGATGATGACTTCCAGCTCAACTCCAGCGAGCAGCTACCCAGGGCATACCACAGACCTCCAGGGGCTGTCTCCCGGCCCCGGGCTCGGAGCTTCCACGGCATGTCACCCCCAACCCCTGAGCCTTCCCTGCTGCCCCGCTGGGGGAGTGACCCCCGGCTGAGCTGCTCCAGCCCTTCCAGAGGGGACCCGTCAGCATCCTCCCCCATGGCTGGGGCTCGGAAGAGGTGAGCCGCAGTAGAGGGCAGGATATAAAGGAAGTAAAGAGAAGGTCCCTGATCACCACATCTTGTCCCTGCCTCCTACTTCAGCCTCATCCTTGTCAGTCCTCCTACCCTGACCTCTGCTCCAGCCAGGCCTCAGTGTCCCCAGCACATAACATGTTTGTTCCAACCATTATGCCTTTGCTGAGGCTGTGCCTTCCTTCTGGAGTGGCCTCTGCTCATTGTTTATCCAAATCCTACCAGTCAACCAGGGCCCTCTCCTTCAGAATATATTTCTATCTGGCCTAGTAACAATTTTTGTCATAGTTAAGAGGACATTGCCACAGTGTCAGAGAAACTGTCTTGAACTAAGTTTCCTAACGCCTTTGAGAATCTGTTGAAAGCTATGGACCCTACCCAAGAAAATTTGTACGCACATACAGACACACAATTCTGCAATTTCAGAGGATCCATGAACCCTTTCCAAAGATATGAGATTACTAATACTCAAGTTTGTGCTCTCCACATCGTGGACACGTGCCCATTTAATCTCCAGGGTGGTCTCTGTACTATCCTTAGAAGGCCTTTATGGGTACATCTCATTATTTCCCAAGGCTCCCAGCTTGGCACTGGATAGACCATGGGTGCCTAATAGAGATTTGTCAGATGAGAGAGGAAGGAAATACAGTAGATGGATGGATGGATGGGGAGTGGGTGGATCAGTGGACGGATAGCTAGGTGGACGACTGGAAGGATAGATGGGTGGAGGTTGTGGGCATGGATGGGTGGGTGATGGATCATTTAGATGAATGTGAAGATGGACCAGTGAATGGATGGATGGATGGATGGATGGATGGATGAGTAAAGAAATAACAGGTGCTTGGGGGAAGGAATGAATGCTCACACCTGCTCACACTGGTGTTCACACCTGCCCAGGTTTGCTGGGTTCTGAGATTCTTGCCTGTCTTCCCCCAGGACCCTGGTCCAGAGCTCAGAGGATGAAGCCGAGGGGATGGAGCTGCTGGGAGTGAGACCCCCAAAACGGTCCCCCAGCGCAGAACCCGAAAACTTCCTGCTGCCTCCGCTCAGCCTGGTATGTATGGGGAGTTGTGGGGTTCTCTGGCGTTAGAATCTAGTAAGCTTAACCCTACTGTTTTACAGATGGGAAAACAAGAGGGACAGGAGCTGGCCAGAGGTCAAATGGATGGTCAGTCATCCACTGGGGCTAGGACTTTGATCTGCCGGTTCAGGTAATAGGTATGGAAGGGCTTTGCAAGTATATATAGGTTGGTAGTAAGTGTTAAGAAGCAAAAATAAGCAGAGTAAGGGGAGAAATGGCAAGGGTAAATACCTGTAGGAATCTCTGCTCCCATGGATCTTCCCTTCCCAAACCCAGCACGTGTCTTGGCCTTGGATTATGAGTGTAGCTGTAAGAGTACAGACACAATCCCACTCCTGGGCATATATCCAGAGAAAATGCTAATTCAAAAAGATACATGCATCCCAATGCTCATAGAAGCACTATTTACAATAGCCAAGACATGGAAGCAATGTCCACTGGCAGATGGTTGGATAAAGAAGCTGTGGTGTGTGTATATATGTATATATACACAAAATGGAATATTACTCAGCCATAAAAAAGAAAGAAATAATGTCATTTGTAGCAACATGGATGGATCTAGAGATGATCATATTAAGTGAAGTAAGTCAGACAGTGAAAGAGAAATATCATAGGATATGATTTATATGTGGAATCTAAAAAAAAATGACACAAATGAACTTATTTACAAAACAGAAACAGACTCACAGACATAGAAGAGAAATTTATGGTTACCCAGGGGGAAAGTGGAGGGAGGAGGATAAAATGGGAATTTGGAATTAGCAGATACAAAATACTAATACAAAATAGATAAACAGCAAGGTCCTACTGCATAGCACAGGGAACTGTATTCAATATCTTATAATAACCTATAATGGAAAAGGATCTGAAAAAGAATGTATATGTGTATGTATATGTATAACTGAATCACTATGCTATATATGGGAAACTAACACAACACTGTAAATCAACTATACTTCAATTTTTAAAAAAAGTACAGACACTAGAGTCAGACTGACTTGGGTTTGAGTCCCAGGTTCACCACCTAATAATTGTGAGACATTAGGTAGGTGACGTTACCACTTTGGCCTCAGTTTCCTCATCTGGGAAGTGGGTATAGTGACATTTCACAGGACTGGCATGAGGTCCAGTGAAATCAGGCCCTGAGCTGATCTTTAGTGGGCTGTTGGTAAATGGTAGAATACAGACAAACCAAACACAAGCAGCGACCCTGGCTGCTCACTCTGAACAGGGCGGTTGGAACATGAAGGGAACATGAGGGGATGGTTGAGAATATCAGCAGCTCTCATTTGCTGAGTGCCTACAGCCAGACACTGACTGTACTCAGGGCCCTGCATCATTAAATTATTCAACCCCACAACCACTTTTGAATTATTAGTATTATCATTCACGTTTACACACAAGAGGTTAAGCAAACATATCAGAATCTGGACAGGAAACAGCATGCCCAGATGGGGCGTTGAGGAGAATTTAGTAACCGGACTGTTGGCAAAGGTGTAGGCATCAATGAGCTGGCAGCATCCCTAGCCTGAAGGCCCAGGGCAGGGGGTGGTCACCAGATCCTAGATAGAGTAGGGACCACCTTGTTAGAGCTGAAACCTTCCATGGAGGGACACAGCCAACCCACGACGGCCCAGCAGGGAAGCAGCTAGAAGATCCAGTACCCCTTGTCTTCCTCCTGCCTGCTGGTATCTCCCATCACATGAACCCAAAAGGAACACACAGAGCAAGGTTGCACACTAATGGAGTCCACATGCATGGGTCAGCTTGCTGGGGCACAGAAGGGAGAACAAGGCTCCGGAGGGACCTGCGGAGGATGCCTGGACAGTGACTCACCCAAAGTCACACAGCCCATAGTGCCCTTAACCATGGAACCATCCTGCCTCCTTGGATGTGATGCTGCTGCTGATGATGGTGGCTTTGTCTCTGTCCCACAGAGTTTCCTTCTGACAGGAGGACCAGCCTCAGGGAGCCAGCAGGATCCCAGCACCCACCTCCTGGAACTGAATGAGCCCATGAGTGAGTAGCAACCCAGTAGACAGAGAGGCCCTGGGTCCCCCTCTTCCCACAGGTGGTGCCTTAGAGGGTGGGGCGATTCTGAGGGTGGTGGGGTATGGTCAGTGGCTGGACATGACCTTAGTGGAAACAGGCAGCCCCTCCCTCTTCTCAGGGGCACTATAGAGGGAAAAGGAGACCTTTGGGAAGGCAGGGGCTGGCCAAAGCTGCCCCTTGAGGTGGAAGCCAAGCCTCTGTTGGCACTGAGTAGGCTTTGAAGTCATCTTGCTTGAGGAGGCTGCCTCAGGGCCTTTGTATATGCTGATCCCTCCACCTGGAATGCTTTTCCCTCTATTTTTAATTACCACACCCTTTAGTTCTCAGATCAAATACTACTCCTTCCACAAAGCTCTCCCTTACTTCCCAAGCTCATGATTCATAACACTCATCACGGTCCATATTTACATAGGAGTCTGTGTCATTATTTGATTATTGGCTGTCTACTCCGTGCAGGTGTGAGCCCTCCGAGGGCAGGGGCCCTGCCTGTCTTGGTCACTGCTGTAGGCTACCATGTGTGCGAGGCTGGGCAGTGGCTGTGCAGCACAGGGCCTCGGTACATATTTGTTAATAACGAGCTAACATTTATCTAGCACTTGCTCTGTGCCGAGCTTTGTGCTAAATCTGTTACGTACATGACGCAACTGACGCCCCTCACTGGAATGTCAGTCCCATGCAGCACTGTGTCCCTGGTGCCTGGCACACAGTAGGTGCTCAATAAATATTTTTTGAATGAGTGAATTTTCATGAGTGAGGCCCGTCAAAGTAGCCCGGTTTACCATATAACGATAGCTCACTGTGCGCTGCTCAAAGCACTTTAACAGGGATTCATTCATTTACCCCTCACAACAGCTCTGGGAGGGAGGTGCTGTGATACGTCCATTTTACAGATGAGGTAACTAAGGCACAGAGAGGTAAAGTCACCTGCCCCAGGTCATACAGCAAGTAAACAGCACAGCCTGGAGTCGAACTCAGGCAGCATTTGGCTCCAGGCTTCTTAACATCCAGACACCTGGAGTTCAGAGGGCAAAACTGCCCAAGATTTCACTCCTGTTTGAATCCAGGCATGCCTGCCTCACCAGCCACATTTAACTGTCAGGAAGGGAAGACAGGTTGGGGTGATGTTTCCCCATTGGTTTACCTTCCATCTTCCCCTACAGGCTTGGGCCCCTCTCTGCTCTCTCTCTACCCAGACGAGGACCCCGCCCCGCCCAGGAGTCACTTCCAGCCAGCGGCAAGCTTGGCGCAGGCCAACTGAGCCAGCCTTTCTGCCTGTCTCCCTTCTCCTCCCCAGAATGGATGTCAACCATACCCCAAGCTGGCAGCCAACGCACAGGATGGGGGTGCCGGGAGAGGGGTTCCCGCTCTCCTCTCCGTGACCCCCGCCCACCTCGGGCCTACCTCAGTTCCCATCCCTCTGCTCCCCCTGCCCCGTCTGGGGGCTCTCTGGGGTGGTCTCAGCTCAGTGACCTCTGGGAGGGGGACCCTAGCCCCCTCCTCCTTCTCTCAGGACTTCCCTTGGGGTTCTCAGTACTGATCTCCTCACCCCTTTCTCCAACTCTCTTGGCTTTATTTTTGGTAATTAGGGACGGGGGAGGTTGGGGTTCACATCTGGATTTCTGGGCTCTGGGGAGTATTGATAACCATAATCATGTTTTTTCCTATCCATCTTTCCTTCATTCTTATTTTTTATTCTTATTGTTTTCATGATGTGTTTTTAGTCGTTCTGAATTGCCTGGAGGCCATAAGAATGCAGGACTCTGGTCTTCTTCCCACCAACGCAGCTGTCAATGGGGGAGGGGAGGCCCCGGGCCAGACTTCACCCCCAGTGGCTTTTGGTTGAACCCCTAGCCTCCCAAGCGGCCACTCTGCTCTGCCCAGCCCTCTACTCTGGACCTCTGCTGGCCCTGGTCTGACCTGGACACTGACTGCACTGGTGGTCTTCCTATCCCAGATGGAGCCTCTAACCTCTGCTTCCAGCCCATACAACCTCCAACCCTGTCGGTTCTAGCCCACACCACACTGATCTCTGGTTCTAGACTGCACCACCCCAGCCTTCTCTGGTTCTAGGCTACACAACCTCCAACATTCTCTGGTTCTATACCACACAACTTCCGACCTTCTCTGGTTCTAGACTGTGCAACTCCCAACTGTCTCTGGTTCTAGACAGTACAACTTCAGACCTTCTCTGGTTCTAGAGTGTGCCACTCCCAGCCTTCTCTGTTTCTAGACTGCACAACCTCCAATGTTCTCTGGTTCTAGGCCACACAACTTCAGGTCTTCTCTGGTTCTAGACTGCACAAGCCCCAACGTTGTCTGGTTTAGACCTTGAATCCTCCAAACCTCTCTCATTTCAGATCTCATAATCTTCAGCTCTTTCTCATTCTGGATCTCACAACCTCTAACTATTTTCTTACCTCACAGTCTCCAAAGTGGTCTGGTTCTAGGCCATACAACCTCCAAATCCCTCAGGTCCCAGAGCCTCTGACAACCAGGGTCCTCTGGTTCTAGAGCTCACTCTCTGACTTCTTCTGGTTCTAGAGCTCTCCCCATAAATCTCCCTTGTTCTCAGTATCACATGCTCCAACTCCTCTTGATTCCAGATCTTACAACCAATGATTTTGCCTGATTTTGGACCCCCAGAACCACAAGCTTTGAATTGGTTCTAGTCTTCCTGATCTGTAATGCATTTGGTTCCAAATCCAGACTTCTTAATGCCTCAATCATTTTGATTCTAAACCTCATGATGCCCAGCTCATTCCTTTCCAACTCTACACTCGAGACTTGCTTTTCCCACCAAAAAGAAGTAAAATGAGTTTCATGTCTTTTTTTTAACATTTTTTAAATTGAGTTATAGTCATTTTATAATGTCGTGGAGTTTCATGTCTTGATCTTAGAACCAGCACTTTCAGAACTAGACACCATGTTCCAGTTCTCTTTTGCTCTAGACCTCATGACTTCTATCACTGACTGGTTCTAGACTATACAAACTTTATACCTTGCAATTTCCGTGGCCCTCTGATTCCACATCTGATGATCTCCATTTTCTCTGGTTCTAGAAATTGACTTCAAATGTCTTCTGATTCCAGACCTCATCCTATAAATCCCCTTGGTTCTAGACCTCACAATCTCTAATTCCCCCTTACTCCAGATCTTATGACTCCAAATTACCCTGCATCTAGAACTTGGCCTTCAAATGTCTTCTGATTCCAGACCTCATCCTATAAATCCCCTTGGTTCTAGACCTCACAATCTCTAATTCCCCCTTACTCCAGATCTTATGACTCCAAATTACCCTGCATCTAGAACTTGGCCTTCAAACATCTGATTAGAGATCTTGCCTTATAAGTTTTTCTGTTTCTAGACCTTATAATTCTAAACTCTTGATTCTATATCTTATGACTCCAAAATCCCTGTGATCCTAGAACTTGGTCTTCAGACTTTTTCAAATTCTAGTCCTTACTTTATAAATTCCTCTGATTCTAGGCCTCACAGCCTCCAACTGCCTCTGGTTTCAGATCCAAATTCTTCTGGTTCTAGAATTCAGCCTCCAAATGCTTCTGATTTTAGAATCTGGACCTTGCCCTATAGATTCCTCTGATTCTAAATTCTGACCTCTGACTCCCTGATTCCATACCCCATGCTCCTAACTCTATTCTGGGCTTCTCACCCAACTCAACTGGCTCCAAGTCCTCCTCTGTCTTAAAGTCTTCCCATTCCAGACCCCTACCCTCCAGGGCTCTTGTGCTAATGGACTTCATGCTCAAGGTTCTCAATCTCATATCCCTCAAATTTCTCTGCCTCAAAACTCCCTCCACTCCCCAAACTCAGCCCTCCAGATGCACTTAACTTTACCCCAGGTATCTGGGGAACCTGGGGCTCCCTCACAACCCAGGAGACTTCCCCAGCCGCACAGGCACACGCACAGCCCTACCTGCAAATCACAGGGTGGGGAGAGAGGCCAGGACTCCTCAGTACTCCACTACCACCTATGTGTCCCCGTTACCCCCAACCTTTCTACGATGGTGCTACTTCTGGTTTTCCACAGGAAAAGACCTCCCTCTTTCAACCCAATTCAACCCCCTTTTGGAAGGCACTTCTCACTGTTTTATCAAGGGATGGCCTGTCCAGATTGGTGCTATGGGGGAAGAAGGGTCTGACCCCTCCCTCCCTCAGGGGGTGACCTGGGCCCTCCCTGGAGGGAACTGGGCTAGGCTGGGGGAGGGGAAGGGACTAGACCAGCCATGCTGGCTCTGAAATCCACTAATCTCTAAACCACCATAAAGATCTTGCCTTGGTAGGCACCAGAGCTCTGTGTGTTGACTCATCTGTGGGGTTACTTCAGGGGGTGTGGGTGACGGGGTGTCCATGTCACTTTGTGATTCCGTGTGTGACACTGTGTTCCTGTGTAGATCTATGTAATACTGTGTGTCTGGTGATGTTTTCATTCTGTGTGTGTGCATTTGTGACATAATTCTGTGAACCAGAGTATGGGGAGGGTTGTAATTCCTCCTACATGTATTAGTATCTGGGTGAAATGATTCAGCCTTCTGTGTGTTTCTCATTACTTTGGGTTTCTGTGTTCCTAAGTGTAGGAGGCATTTTTTTTTTCAGTACCTGCATGTTGTCTGTGTGGTGTTGCAATTCTGTGTACCCATATGGGACTGTTTGACACTATAATTCTGTCCACTGATCTCTGTGTGATGATTCTCTGTCCTTGAGTGTGTGCGTGTGTGTGTGTGCACACACATGCACAAAAGATTGTGTGTCTCTAGATTCACGTGTGGATGGGCGTGCCTGTCCTGTCATGTAACCCTCATAACCCCTCTCCTGTGTTTGACAAAGGAGTTTTCTCAAAGGAAGAAAAGCACTTTTAAGCCTTGGCATTTACTGTTTTCTCTGCCTTAAATGCCTCCCCCCTACACACTTGGTTTTCTCCTACTCAAATCTTGGTTCAGACGTCTCTAAGAAGTCTTCTCTGTCTGCTCTAGCTGAGTGAGGTCCTCTCACAACCTCCTAAGAGCCATCACCCCCACCACAGTTCTACTCTGTCCCACTTTGAATATTTATAATGGAGGACTTACTCTGTGGTAGGCCCTCTGTCACTTTACTTATGTGCTTTTCAATCTCTCCTTTAATCCTATACAGTAGGCCCAGTTGTTATCCCCATTTTGCAGAGGACGAAACTGAGGTTCAAAGACAATAATCACTTGCCCAAGGTCACACAGCAGGGAAGGGAAGGGAAGAGCTGGACTCGAATCCAGGATTCAAATCCATTATGGCATTCATCCCACAGAGACCAAAAAAATCTCAGAAATCTAATCCACAAGATGGGCTCTGGAGCATAAAGAGATAGTTGAGTAGGAACTGAGAGCACAGGAATTAGGTGGGATAAGTTCAAGTTCTGGCTCTGCCACTTTCTTGTTCTATAACCTTAGGCAGGTGTGTTGACTTCTGCAAATCTATGCCCTTATCTGTAAGATAGAGATAATACTAGTATTTACTTTCTAGGATGACTTTTGGCTGTGGTAGGGTCATACTGCCAGGACAAGATTTGCAGGTGCAATAGCTTGTGCTTCCTTCCAGGAGGGGAGCCAGAGCAGAGCCTTAAAGGACTTAGTGCAACAGCATGAGTAGCAGCTGTGGGCTCGGAAAGGATGGTCTGGAACAGTGTACAGTGAATGGGGATCTGGAGATGCTGGCTGAGGCTAGATTATTCAGGGTCTCCTAGGACATCAGAGTTTGGGTTTTCTCCTAGGGGCACTGAGGAGCCATGGAACGCTGGTCAGTGGGGGGCGAGGGAGAAGAAAGGAGATGGTGCAACAAACTTCTGAGCCTAGCTCAGGGCTGCGGGATCCAGGGCACCTTTAGTCAATAACCTAGAAACACTGACCCTTTCTTCTGTTGGTTTGAGAAAACACTCATTTTTCAGAGAGGAGTAACTGAGACCCCAGAGGAAGAGATTTGTTCAAGGTCACACAGGTAATCGACAGTAGGGCTAGACCCCCTGCTCCAGTTCTGCGTTTTGCAGGATGCCGCCTCGCAGGAAAGTCACTCTCACTGGCGGTATTCGCAACCCTCCTACCAACGGGAGAAGACGGCGGGGAGATCCCACTTTAGGACCCTGAGAAATTTATACGGCTCGGAACATGGTATCTTTGGGAGGGGGAGCCACGCCGGGCCTCTTTTCCCCGCGCGCCCCTTTTCGCCTACCCCATTGGCTCATTCTAGGAAGGGCGCCGTCAGGGAGCCCTCTGGTCACCTTGTCCTCCGCGCGCTCTATGTGGAAAGGGTTCCGCGCAGGCGCGCGAAGGGCGCCTTCGGGGCCCGCGCTTTACGACACTTGTGCAGCAGCGGCTACTCGGCACTCCTTCGCGACGATTCGGCCGGGTGCCGCTGGCGGCGGTTGCCAGGGTGGGGGTCGCTTTGCGGCATGGCGATGGCGGAGGGCGAGCGGGCTGAGTGTGCTGAGCCCCCCCGGGACGAGCCCCCGGCTGATGGCGCTCTAAAGCGGGCAGAGGAGCTCAAGACGCAGGCCAACGACTACTTCAAAGGTGCGCCCGCCCTGGAGGGAGCAAGGGAGGGTGGAGAGCGGCCCGGGTCAAGGGGTGCCGGGCCCGCGTGGAACCATGGCAACGCGGAGCGGCTGCCTGGGCGCGGGGCAGGCACTACCAAGTGACCAGGCGTGGGGAGGCCGAGGATGGCGCTACCAAGGGGCGACAGAGGGGGCTTCTGAGAGAAGGGGTGGTACCTAGAAGTGGCGTACCGAGCGGGTGCTACTAAGTGGGGAGACTGAGGAGGGCGCTACCAAGTGTGAAGCGGAAGGGGGACGGTAACGTGGGCACTACCAAACGTGAGACCTGAAGAGGGCGCTACCAAGTAGTGACATGGGGCGGAGGAGTGATGGCGCTACCAAGTGGGGAGACCCCAGTGGAGAGACACCAAGTGGGGGTGGGGGAAGACTCCCCACAGAGTAGGGAATCGTGGGAATGGGAGATAGATCATTAGATGGGAGGGCAAGGAAGTAGGAGGTTCGGGGTTACGTTAGGAGCAGGCTCTGGAAGTAGAGGTGATGCAATCCCAAGAATGGTATGACTTAGGTTCTTGGGAAAGTAAAGATGTGGGGGCACCCATTCATTCATTCATTCAGCGCGTTTATTCAGTACGTTTATTGAGCACGTGCTAGGTGCTAAGGACTGTGCTAGACTTTGGGGATACAGCAAGGGATGAGACAAATGTGGCTCTGTCCTTATATAGCTTGTACTTCAGCAGGAGAATCTTTGAGACAATGCACAAATAAATAATAAAATATTAATAAGCTGGGATGTGTCCTTTGAAAAAACCCCAATGGGGTGTGAAGTAGGGAGTAAGAGTTGAAAGCTACTTTAGAGAGAATGTTAAGGGAAGACCTTACTGAGAAGAAGGCATTTAAGTTGAGAAGGAGAATTGGAAAGGAGTGTCCCAGGTGGGTGGAGCTGCATGTGCAAAGGCCCTGAGGTAGAAAATGAAAGGAGACTGGCTGGCTTGGCTGGAATTTTAATGAATTAGCGGGGAGACTGATACAAGATGAGTTTAGGATGGGGGCCAGATCATTTAGGGTTTCAAAGTCATTGCAAAGACTAGTTTGGCTTTGACTCGACTGTCCAAGAGGAGACATTAAGTAGATAGACGGGCCAGTCTAGAACTCTGAGGAGAGGTATTTGGACATGATAGGCTTATGGATGGACTAGAATGCCCTGAGAATGGATGAGGTTACCCAGGAAGAGAAGGGGCCTAAGACGGAACCTCATGGAATTCTAATGTTTGAAACAGAAGAGGCTGAGTAGGAGCGGTCAGTAAAGTGAAAGGAAAATCAGGAAAGGTGTCTGGAAAGCTGACAGAAGACTGCTTCTAAAAGGAGGGGCTGTGCCTTAGGTCAGATGCTGCCAAGGCAAGCACCGAGCATTGACCATTGATTTGGCTCCACAAAATAGTGTAACCTTGATCAGAGCAATTTCTAGGGAATGATGCAGGTGGTAGCCAGAGAGGTGCTTCAGAGGGCGCCGAAGAGTAAATGGGAAACGAGGGAGTGGAGACAGCATAAGTTGACAAGATTTCTAATAGTTTGACTCTAAGGGGGAGTAGGGAAATCGGGTGGGGGCTTCTTTTTTTTTAAGGTATGGAGGAGACCAAGCGTATGGTCC